AATACTACTGGCCTGGCATGCGCACCGATCTGGAGAAGGGGTACATTCCTGGATGCGAAGACTGTCAAAGGAACAAGGACACCACGACCAAGCGCGCCGGACCTTTACATCCACTACCGGTACCCGATGGTCGAGGAGAATCCATCGCTATGGATTTCATCGGCCCTCTCCCTGTCGACGACGGCTACGATATGCTTCTGACCATCACCGACCGTATGGGATGTGATATCCAACTAATTCCGGTGAAGTCAAATATCTCTTCCGAAGAACTTGCTAACGTTTTCTTTGACAAGTGGTATTGCGAAAACGGGATGCCAACTCATATCACTTCCGATCGTGACAAACTCTTCACTTCTAAATTTTGGAAAACCCTTCATACACTGACCGGAGTTAAATTACAGCTTTCCACAGCTTATCACCCGGAGACCGACGGCTCCAGTGAGCGAACAAACAAGACTATCATCCAAAGTCTAAGGTTCTGGGTCGACAGAAACCAAAAGGGCTGGGTTAAGGCATTACCTCGTGTCAGATTCGCACTGATGAACACTGTCAATTCGTCTACAGGCTTTACTCCATTCCACCTTAAAATGGGTCGCTCTCCTCGTGTTTTCCCCTCACTCATTCCGAGGGAAGGACAGCCTAGGCTAGAAGACGTCGTCAAAGCCATCGAGAAACTCCAGAACGATGTCTCAGAAGCACAGGATAATCTTCTCGCCGCTAAGGTCCAACAAGCCCACCACGCCAACAAGAAACGAGGCCCCGAACCGTCCTTCGAGCCAGGAGACCGCGTGTGGCTGACAACTCGTCATCGACGCCGCGAGTACTTGTCGCGCGACAGCAAACGAGTCGCAAAGTTCATGCCCCGCTTCGATGGCCCGTATACCATCCTCGACGCCAACAAAGACAACTCAACATACACCTTGCTCCTTCCCGAACACTCCAACACTCACCCCGTATTTCACGCGTCATTGTTGAAGAAATGCATTCCCAACGACAACGACAAGTGGCCCGAACGTCAACACATCATTCCTAAACCTATCGTCACCGAGAGTGGTCAAGAAGAATGGGAAATCGATAGGATCCTCGACAGAAAACGGGCTGGCAAAGGATGGCGCTACTTGGTACGCTGGGTGGGTCACGGTGCGGAGTGCGACGTATGGCTGCCCGGAAAGGAGGTCGAAGATTGCGAAGCGCTCGACAAATTCTTGGAAGGCCTGAACGACAACGGAACACCGGATGCCACGACGGATGTTTGATTCTCTTTCCTCTGTTATTCACTTTTTCCTTCGAGTTACTGGGGCTAACGGTTGTCTTTTTCCCCACCGGGGTTTTTTAATGCACCACGTCAAAAATGGGCCCCTCTTTTACGATAGTCTTTTTACATTACCTTGCTTTTCTTTTTTTTCAGAGGAGGGAGGAGTGTAAGGGCGGGCCTTACACGATCACGTGTAGTCATACCATCTCATTAGGCTGCCCGCCCGAGTAGTCGACATCTTATCATCTCTCTCTCTGTACGCGTACTCGACATACTGCTATAGAGACTCGATTCATACGCACTTGACACGCTGTGAGTGTTTACTGTTCTCCTGTTTCTTAAGGAGAACAGGTTTCCACCTGAACACCCCCAACGAATCGAGAAATACGCGGTTTTTCCGAGCCTTCCGCGGGCGGCAGAGTCATGTCGGCATTGATTCAGCTTTACTATCGCATCATATTGTGGAAATGTCCTGAGTTGGGTGGGTGAATTGGAATGCACTGTGTGATGTGTAATGCACTGGCATATGCTGAGTAAAGAGTACGCATAAATTCGGGTCCGCTCAAGTACAACGTTTACTTGCCTGGGGGATACACGTTGATTCTAAGTAATTCGACTCCAGTCTCGCAATGTGTGCGTCCTTCAGCCTGGATTCCCAGCCGACAAGAACGGGATGTCGCGGCCTCCGCCCTCTATACCACTGACTATGTACCATTCTAGCATGGAATGAGTAAATACGATGACCATCCTGCTTGAAAGGACACCGAGCCGCGAGCCTCCTCCCGAAAACGGTCAAGCCTAACTCAATTTCAATCGCAAAAGTTAAATTCAACCCCAGTTTGTCAGGTCATGATCAATGCACTCGGTGGTATGTACGCTTATCGTACATTTATTCTTGTTCGAAAGCCGCCGCCGGCATTCCAGGAGCACTAGTAGTGCGAGGTTAATTGAAGTGTTGATGTATGTGAGTCAGATTAGATGACTGGTCGAGAGTTGACTCTCGACTTCCCTCCGCCGCCTTCACGACCCGAAGCCTCCCTCCCAATTTGAGGGCCCCCAACCCGAGGCCCCACAACCCGACCGACCCCTCGCTGCCCGGCGCAACCGCTTCTCCCCAACGAATTCGAAAACGAGCGCCCAAACCCTAGGCGCCATCAGCAACATCAGCAACATCACTGACATCACTCGTCGTCTCTACATTGCTCACCATGTCTACTTTTGTCATGTCTCTACTTTGCTCAAGTACTACCATCTCAAACGTTGCCTTACCACTGTCGCTTTGAAAGGGTCGTTAACTGGAATTTCCGAAAGTGGCGATCCGCCTTGCCGCGTCCAATTCCCGTCGTCGAGTGATTGGGATACATCTGTAGTATCCATCCTATGTGATTAGAGAACCTAGCGAAGGTATCCACCTACCTTAGTTCCGCCCAACCGAGGAGGTTATAAAGTGAGTAATCCTGACAGATGCTCAGTAGTCACCTCATTCTAGCTCTTCTCGAATCTCAAGTTTCAGAAATTGAACTGAATACACTCCTCACCTACGTGCGCCCTGGTAGTCAAAATTCAAAGATGATAACTAAGGCGACTGTGGAGGTAAGATACCACGCTACCATCTCAGGCAACGCTACCGTCTCAAGTAATCCCAAGTACCGTCCCTGGAACTGCGATCTTTATGACGTTATCGCTGGTCAGCGCGGTGGACCGGTGAATATTATCGTGATGAGGTGATTACCACATACAGTGAGTGGGTGGGTGAGATTGAGCGCTCTGGGATGCCCGTAAATCAAGGGGCGAGGCGCAGCACCGCGTGGGTTGCTTCCAATGTGTATTGAGATTGAAAATTCGCCCTCGAGTTTCGTTTCAAAATCAGAATCACTGGCACTGCGCTGGTTAACCGGAAGTTTGTTCAAAGTTCTGGGCTCTGGAACGACGCTGGACGCTGGAGCAAATAGGAAACGAAACAGTCACTGGAGTAAAATGGGAATCCATTCGGCTCGCCACCCCCTTCCTTTGCCACTGCGCCACGTTCCAGAGCTAGGAAGGAAAGGGTAACACGGCAAGGTTCAACAAGCAGATAGAGTTTTCGCTGGGATGTGGCTGAGACAGGCGAGAGAGGGGCGTGAGTCGACAGTCACAGATGAGGAAGGCGTTCGACAGTCACAGATGAAGAAGGCGCTCGACAGGGTAAAGAAGGCATTAGACAGGCGAAGGCGAGAGAGAGAGAGGCGTTCGACAGGTGATGAAGGGATTCAAGGTTCGAGCTGCGCCACAGATGGACAGTGAGGGGTTGCCCATCTATCCATCCATCTATCTATCTAGACTGGTAGAGCCCAGATTCGAGCTTATAGGGTCCACGAGAAGCCAGCGAGTTAGAGGTTGGCTGAGGTGTTCTGGTGAAATTGAAAGGCGATAGTGGATGGTTCAAGTCAAGAAGTTGAAGGTGAAGGTGACAGACAAGCGCAGGCCAAGGCGTGAAAGGGATAGTATAGGTGTCGAAGTGAGGCGAGTGTCGAAATGGTGACAGAAAGGTCTTCATACTCCGTAGATAGTTGAACAATGCGCGATGTAGCACAAGTATGAACCTCGACCAGAGCTCGCATCGACTCGAGCCAGGGTGCAGGTGCACACACCCTCGAGACCGACGAAGTTTCGTAAAAGGGTCGCGTAACCACCCGGCGGTGGCAACCAAGGGGATCCAACTCCGCAATTTTGTTCTGGGGTGGGTTGCCTGAACGTGTCGCCCTCGAAGGAAACCAAGCAACACAGCCAAGTCACAGAGGATGGAATGGAACTCTACGAAAGAGGAACCAAGAATAAGCATATTTAGCAACGGAATTAAGAATTCGAAGAGTGCAAATTAATCGAGGAGACTCAGCCAGGCAGCCACATTGCAATTTAGCGCGTTAAGCCCTTAATGAGTGGAGTGGTTCCCAAAAAGGAAATACTCGTCTTCCCAGCGGGACCAGGTCAGGTCACCAGGGTCCCCTGGGGGAAAAAAGCGGAGCCCTTGGAAGCGGGAGACGAACGCAACGAATCCGGTCGGCTACGCAGTGGTGACTCGTAGGCAGAGTAAAAAAAGGTGTGAAGAGGCCGCAGCAGACGGAGTCGGAGATGCAGCACCGTGGGGTGCGCAGTCTGTGATAAATATCGCGAGGACGTGGATTATGGTAGCACCAGGGGTTGAGCGCGAGAGCGGAGGAAGCTGGCCGGCTAGTAAGGCCTAATGTGGATTGATGGGGAGTGGTTGCCGTAGGAGTAGATGAGTGTATGACGACACGGGGACGGCAGAGCCTGAGTGCAGTCGGAATCCAAAGTTGTCGTTGTGAGAGCTGGGAAGAAAGACGGTTCTTCCATTGAGAAATGGGTTAGGAGGTGGGTGGCTGACTGATTAGATAGAGAAAGCATTGGTCAGAGATAACCCGCGTCTAGTCGGGGACGTCAGTGAGGCGGAGAGGGCGACGTGGCCCGGCAACCCATTTTAGAAATTGAACCAGTCGAGGTGAATCGAGTCGGGATGATTGGCATCCGAAGGTTACATCAGCTTGCTTGCGTTCTTGTCGGTCGGAGGTAGATCTGAGATGGGTGGATCGGAGATCGGGATCGGCTTACGCAGCCTCAAAGGGAGCATTACAGACTACGCAGAGAGACGCTCAATCTTACTCCCTTTTCTCTTTATTATGCATGACAGAATGCCAGTTGATATATATTCATCGCCTTCCGTCCCCTCTCCTTCCTCCAATCTCCCATGGCCTACTTGCCCTCAGACGTAGCAATGGCCTCTCCCTCCTCTTCTTCCTCCGGCTCATCGTCCCTCTTCTCATCGCCGTCATCCTCTTCCTCCTCCAGAACATCGGCGAGCTCGCCGGCTATCCACCCCAGCTCTCTCGTCGACGCCGCCCAGCACTCGCCGCACACTCTAAGGCTTGTCGGCATCCCAATCACCCAACGCCTAATTGGTGAGTACACCTGCATCTACTAATTGAAAGGGTCCTCATCATTTTTCATTTAGACTATGTAGTGGACCAGGTCATCGAGACGGTCGACCATGCCATGAACCGGCCATCAACCCTTCTCCCCGCTTCCTCCTCTTCAAAATCAACCTCTGCCTCCAGGCCCAGGACACCCACCCAGCAAAAGTTCTCCACCTTCACCACAACCGTCCTCACCCGCGCAGAAATCACAACACCCACCCTCCTCCTCGCCCTCATCTACATCCACCGTGCCCGCCCGTATCTCCATATTGCTCTCGAAGAGTGGGCATTGGAGCGAGTCTTCCTCGGTGCCTTGATCGTCGCAAGCAAGTACGCCAACGACAGCACCCTCAAGAACGTCCACTGGGCCCTCTGCACAGGCGTATTTGGCAAGCGAGATGTCGGCCGCATCGAACGCGAGTTCCTTGCCGTCCTCGAGTGGGATCTCGGCGTCACCGAGAGCGAGGTGCTCGGTCTCTGGGAGGGTCTTGAATGGGCAGTAGAGGAGAAGGAGCGGGAGGAGCGAGAGAAGCGGGCCAAGTTGGAGAGGGAGAAGATGAGGCAGCTCGAACTCCTCGAACGCCAACGCGAGCAGCAGCAGCGCCAGCAACAAAAATCGGCCTCCAAGTTCTTCCTCGGCGAGCGATCTTCAAGGCAGCCCTCGCCGCCTCCTCTGCCAGTGAAACCCCGCAACCACAGGCGTTCACATCTCGCCGTCGATGCCCTCGCTCTTCCTTCATCCAGGACACACGGCCACTCGCCCTCATCGTCCTCGATGAGCTCATCCTCGTCTTCATCATCAGACTCGCCATCACCGACGACGCCTGAAGACTTCCAGACGCAGTACATCGTCATCCAAGACGGCGAGGCCGACCACTCGAGTCCCCGAGGCGTCCCAGTGGTCACACCGCCAAAGAAGCGTGGGTTCACGGCAACGACCATGGAACTTTTGAAGAGCTTCCCTTTTCCCGGCCACCACCACCACTCCCACCAGCAGCTCCCGACGGCGAAGCGACACGACCGGGAGTTTTCCCAGCCGCATCCCTATGCCTACACCCTACCCGACTACCCCCAGCACATCAAGCACGGCCGCTACGCGACTGAAGGCTCCCATCGGTCTGTGAAGCGCCTCCCTCTGCGCGTTGTGTCGTCATAAAGGGAAAGAGTCCTGTCTCTTATCTCGTCTGTGTTGTACCCTGTGTTTTTTTCTCTGTGTTTGTTATCTTTATCCTCATTGCATGTCTCTGTTACCCCCTCCTCATCCTCAACTCTGCATTATACATTACCATATGGACAATCCAATCTCCTCTCGTTCCGTTCTTGCTTTTTCAACATCGACTCATCATCCATCGACATGTTTCTTGCTTTCTGTTTAGTCAAGGCTTGGTATACTATACTTGCTACCCCCCTGCTACCGTTCAGCTGTAGCTTACTACTACTATGTTTCTTCTTTGCATGGCATGCCATTTGGTGGCACACACACACTCTCTCTTTATTCGCAACCCTTTTTTCCCTGTCTCTCTCGATCCTCAAGTTCAATTCATACCGGCACATTATTCTTCGCCTCTCGATCCAACTCAAAACTTCGGACACTCACACTCATTCTTACTACAATACGAAGAACATCACAACCCATTTTATCTATTATTCTAATTCACCGTATTATTTTTATTCTCCCTCTCTCTCTTCAACGTTCAACTTTCTGCGTTTTTTGGTTTCAAAGTCGATCCTTTTTGGTTCTTCCCCTTTGCAAATGTAGTGAAGAGGGGGTTTTTGTAGTAGATGCAATTGTTATCCCAAGCCTAGCTGTATGTAGTTTACCCCTCGTCGTCTTTTTCAAGCTTGAGCTCTCTCTCAGTTTGACGTACATTAGTTGAATATAACAAAAGCGTTTAAAGATTATATTTCTTTTGGAGGAGTGACTTCGAATCCAAGTGAGCGCTTGAATACCCGAGGCCCGACTTTTGAGTAGTACTCGAGTATTCCTCGATGAATGATCGAAGGAAGGTCTAGGAAGGGTTTGAATAATGAATGAAACTCTTTCGGTCGAATGTTCGTTCAAGTTCTAGTTCTAGTTTGGATTCTTTTTGAATCCACTCCTCTCCGCCTCGTGTTCAGACAGGCATGCCTTCGTGGCGTTGGGAGTCAGAGTTTTCTCCGCTCCCCGGGAGGACGGAGTACCAAGTGTTCCAGTCAAGTTGTCATTGTCAGCCATCCTCCGCCATCCTTAGTCCTTAGACTGACAGTTGGATTTCCGGGTTCTTGGAATCAAGCCGCTTTACGACTCCGAGTGGAACTTTCAAAGCCGTTGTTTTTGGGGGTGAACCGCCGGAATCAAGTGGTGGAATCAAGTGGGTAGGGGCCGTAGGCGAAGGATCGAGTCATACAGTGTCATACAAGTCATAACTTATCGCACGTAAGGGAGAGAGAGGTTACACGTAGGAGCCCGGCAGAGATCATATCAGTTTGTACGTTATTGCTTGTAAGTTTTTCTCTGTTCTTCGGTCAGTGGTAGTAAGTTTGGGATTTTGGGGTGAGTATGTACCGGCTTTTTCGCGTACGTGTACGTGATTTAAATTTTGGAGCTCGAGCTCCCCCTTCCGGCGCTTGGAAGGAAGTTGCCTCGAGAATGATCGTCGGTTAAATTGGATCCAGAGGTTACATGTGTAGAGTACTGGAAATAAGCCATTGTGACGTCCGCGCTTACCGAGCCTCCACTGTGACTGAGCGCTCCTCTCGAGCTCCTTAAGTTACCAGGTAGTACATGTGCTGACTGAGCTCAAAGCATTTGAGCGTGACTCTGACTACCCTTTTTCATGCGAATTAAGACTCGGATGACAACGGTGCAGGGCGGGTCACTGAGGGTTATACCGTGACTTTGGATATAGTATACATGCGGGCGGTTGGTTGGTTGGTTGATTTGATCGGCAGTGCGGAATTTACTTGGGAGGGACCTCGAGGAAGATTAATACTTATTAGCAAGTCGGAAATCATGCTCGTTTTGAGATGTCGACGTCGACCCGGTTATTATTACCATGTGTGCACTGTGAATTAGAGAGGAATTCATACTCGAGACCCCTACTCTACCATATGTACGAACGGGCGCCAGGCTGTGGTAAACATGTAGAATGATGAGGAGACGGGAGTATAGTTAAGAGTCTACAAAAGTGATGCAGTCTTAGCCACGCGAGGAGGTATGATGGTATGGCACGCCGTAGACTAGTAGTCACTCCGAAGGCTCCTCCTATATGTACCACCGACCCTCCGAGTAATTAGTACGCGAAGATGGCCGGGTAGGCGCGTAAGGTATCATCCAATTTGAATCCACTCTGAAACCATAGCCACTTGCATCGACATACTATGTTGGACTCCTGAATGGGGTGCAGCTAGGAGCTATGGGTATGGGAATAGACAGACCTCCTAGCTGCGCAGCCTCAGTCGATAAGGCGCGGGAAGAGATGGAAGCCGTAACTTGAAGCGCTCGATCGCGGCTGACCATCTCAGGCTATAGCTAAGAAGCTAACGCCTGGAAGCTGCGCAACACAGGAGTAGTATACTATATGCTTTCGGGGTACTGCGGGGTCACACCCAGTGGATCCTCTGCGCTTGATATCGGCGAAGAGCTTCTAATGGTAATCATAGTTGTTGTGCAATACATAAGGTTCTTATCATAGTTCAAGTCACGGTTTTGCAATCAAGGCGCAGGCGGCTGCGGGTTGCGATACGGTAAGCGCCCCCCCCCCCTCGGTATCAGGCTTATCTCGGACTCCCTCACGTACTTCAGCCTCAGGGATCAGAGTACAGCTCGTACATATCATGTCAATGGACGCACCAGCCCGGTGAGGAACGGCGCGTATCAATCGCAAAGCCAATTGCGAGGTTGCAAATGCCAATGGACTTCCATCCCTCCCAGGCTCGTGATCATGAAACAGCGCTAGCTCGAGGTTGATAATTGCTCTGTATCAGGCTTCAGGGCTGTACCGGCGGGAGATCGAGTGTATGTATAGTCAAACCTGTGTCTTTTCTAATCGCACCCGTATGTACTACTACTAGTACCCCGGCACACCCGTACGGTACCATAGTTCCCCTCCATTAGTACTTAGTACTGACCCGTACCGGTACCCATCCATCCAAATATCAAATGAAATGAAAGGCCTTGCACCGCTTTCTCTCGGCTGATTTCGAGACGAAACAGGGCGCGCGGATACTAAACATGGCAAGTGAAACGAAGGGGCCAAAAGCGATCGACCGCCGGCTGCGGTTGCGCATCGAGCTCGAGGATGGAATCGATTGTAAGTACCTGAATTTGATTCGATTTGATTTGATTTGATGTGGGGAGGGACGAGGGGGGAGTAAATAAGTTATAACTATGTAACTTTAACTTGGAACTTGAAGGGGGTAAGGTTTTTTGATAGAGTGCATTAGAGAGGAGATGGGGATGAGTCCGCGCTGTACTATTGCCAAATCGATTTGCAGCGTCGGGCGTCGGGAATCGAGGGGTAAACCAGTGAAGATTAACCGTTAAGCTGAACTGGATCGAGTCGTTTGGCGCTGACGCGATTTCCGGGGGGTATGAGATATCGTATTCGGCAGCGCTAGCATGAGGTGAATTTCGGACAGACACAGGCAAGTTCGGAAATTATGTGTCAACCAAGCGATAGGTGTAAGGTAGCCCATATGGGCAGGCCTTAGAAGGGAGGGAAAGCAGACAGGCAGATAAGACAAGCAGAAAACTTGAACGAACATCTAGACAGACGTCCGGTATTTCATTAACTTGAGCCTTTAGTATGTGAGCCTCGACTTGAAATGAGGGGTTTGGCCGGTTATTTCGCGAGGACGCCATCAACCCTACAGCTATATGTCAGACCACTCAAGTATCGACATAAACCTGGGGTACGTAAATCCTCCGTTCGATTCGCGGGGTGGAGGGGATCTTGAGGGGCGCGGGTGCCAGTGTCCAGTGTCAAGCCAGGGCGGGCGCTTAGAGCGCCCGGATGAGTCGTTGATCCTGGCACTTCAATCTGATTAATTGGTTTGTTAAAGTGGTTTGGGGAGGATGCAATTAAAACATCCATCCGTCCATCTTCAAGTTCCTACTTGGGATCTGGGTGAAAGTGAATTCCACTTTATCATCCACACTTCAAAAGTGGTTTTGATGATGAGGGGTGTCATCCATTGGCAGTCCGCAAGCGAGGAGTGTGGGGAGGGGAGGTTAGGCGCCCTACATTTCATTTGTCGTCCGTTGTCATTGTCACTGATAATTACTCGCAGGAATGTAAGTTTTACCGGACTGAGGGGCAGTCGAGCCGCAGATAACTTCACAGTAACATCCACGCCTGGCGTCGTTGACTCGTTGTTGTCATTTCCCCGAGGTACGACCAGGCCGGGGTGGTGTTACGGATTGCCGTGATTGTCCCATCACCCTCGTTGATGATACTCGGTCTCGCAAGGAAGGGTAAGTAAGTAATAAGTGGAAGATCTATCAATGGATCAGGAGTGTGGACGTACGTACATACATGGGTCAAGGCTGGAGCAAGGGAGAAGTCAACGTCTCTCTCCCGATACCGAACCTCCGAGCAACACGCATCGAGGGAGTTTCGAAGAAACTTGACTTGGTCGATGTGGATACTACTGGAAGCTTCGTAGGTCATTGTTGGAACTGTATCCGCATCTACCGCGTGCCACTGCGAACAGGAAGCGGAAAACCATCGGGTTTGGTTTTGCCACGTTACATGGATTCTTCTCCTCGACTTGCTCGGTGGCTCGTCCCGATACCCCAGGACACCAGTCGAAGTGGAGATTTATTAGCTGGGGTACATACGAAGTACCTTTGGGGAAGCAACCTCAAGCGTCGGCTCAATCCCCATAGTCGTGCCATCCAAAAGACCCTCGCTGGAAAACATACAAAACTCGATCCACCGTCCGTCGCGATGATAAAAATCTCACATCGTAACAAGGCACGGTAGAGTTGTCGACATCTTGGAAAAAATACAACACCCAACAGATTTCGAACCACTTCCAAGGCGCTTTTAGTGGGATTCACTTCGGTGCCTGGTGAGGCTTTCTCGGAGGTATCGGCGAATAAGGGCATGTCGGGGCTGTGCAATATGTGAGTCGGGTGTGTATGTTGCCAAGGGTCGTTGTACCGTGTCTCTG